GTGCAAAATAGGTAGTAATCTCGACGATGGCGGTTTATCACGGCGGATGGACTAATTGATGTCATTCACGGTGTCATTAATGCCGGTGTTCTTGGACGTGTATCAGCAGCTAGTGATTTTCACAAGCGTGGTGAAATCTTTTCAGACCGTTGGTGCCACTTCTCGCGACTTTCCGCTTCTAAAGAACGATATGGAAGAGAGACGTACCAGGAACGGAATAGGAAGAAAGATAGAGACAGAAAGGAACGAAGAGAACGGCTGAGGGAAACGTGTGTGTGTGTGTGTGTGTTTGAACGCGACCGAAAGAGGAAGAAAGAGGGAGATACGTGTTCGTGGGTGTCGAAGGCAGGAAAAGAGGGTGATGGTGCGGAGAGGTGCGGGAGGGGTTGGAGGGAGGGATGGAAGTATGAAGTGAGCATATTACTATTGAGAATAAGTACCTGGCTTCGAGATGGTGGCTGCGCTCAGGGGAGAAGTTGGAAGGGGATGAAGTAACAGCACACGGGGGTGGTACGTCGGGGGGTACAAATGGGGTGGTACAATGGGCACTAATGGATCTCAAGCCGCCGCGAGAGGCGCTGCTTTTAATCTAATTGTCCTCCGTAGCCGTCGCGATCGCGATCAGTGGTATTCAACTCTGATCCCTCGACCAACCCCCTTAAAACATATGATTACGCTGGGGTGTAAAAAACAAAAAGGAAAAGGGGTTGGAAGGGGGAAAGAAAGTCGGACCCGTCTTCCGGTCCGCGTGTACGACCTACGAAATTTTTTCCGCGGTCGCAGCCTGAAAGCGCGCCGCGAAACTTTTAACATCGACGGAGGGGGGACGGTGGCAATTAAATTCCAACGAATAATAAACGTTTATTAAATTCCTGTAATACAACGTTTATTAAAATTTCATTACATTTCGCATATTCCCGGTTCGGACGTCTCGAGTAATTGGCAATTTGACAACGACCGTGTGTCGACGTCGCTCATGAATACTAATACAGTGTGCTTCTTGTGTATCGAATGAAAAGAAACTTATTTGTTCGTTTGATGACACGCGTGAGTACATACGATGAAAAATGTTATTTAGACTGAAGATAAGTATTTTGTGATGAAAATTGTATCTGTTAGTCCTTTAACTTTTACGACTATCGATAACTTGAGTGTATCACGTGGGCAGGTATAGGTGCGAATGCTTACGATACGACACATTGAGTGAATGCAGGGAGAAAGTGGACCCCGAAGCGTTTCTTTCTCATTCTAGTGGTTCCATTTAGCGGAACTTTACAGCATTATGCGGCACGGTTGTTGAGCTAAAATGCAAGGACGGGGAGGGGGAGAAGGAATTTCGAAAGCATGCCCGTGCTGTTTCTAATGTTGCGAATATAAAATGTCTGCGGAGTACCTCGAGTGTGTCGGGCTCGTTCCACCTACCGCAGACTTCGGAGGTTTTCCTCCAAAATTGTACGTAAAATGTATCTTCAACGACTAGTTTAATGGTAACTTTATTCTAGAAACTGATACTGACTTTTAGACAGTCTAAAAGGCAACTCTTCTCGAGCGTTCACTACTGGAAAGTAAGAGAATGTCTTTTAATATATCTAATTAAAAATTGAAAACTTGGATTAAATCTAATATTTGCTAAGACTGATTAAGCTAATTTTTTGTCCAGAAAAATTTGTTCTTTTATTTTTATTTTCTCATTAGGTATAATTTTCTTTCTCGCAGCTCTTCAATACTGTGCAAATGTGATTTGAAACTCAAAATACTTCAAAATCTTAATAAGTCTTGAGTCCCGATTATTCTCGAGTCTTCAAAGATTCGATAACTCTTGGAAATCATGGAAGTTTTGATGGTTTCAAAGCCTTAAATGTTTTGATAGGACTAGAAGGAATTTTGAATGCTTTTCTAAGATACTGAATACTCATCAAGCTTTCAGGAACTATCAACGCATTCTAGAGTTTAAAAACTATCAAGACATCCATGACTTCCAAGATTTTCAGAACCTATCAAATCTTTCAAGACCCAAGACTAATAAAGTCTGAAGATCCAAGTCTTTTCAAGAGGTGTACGTATTGAATCGTGTTCGAAGTGACTTGAATTTTTCGTCATATGTACATATGTACATACTCGAAACGATTCAAAGTGCTTCAGAGCCCGACACTACTTCTATATCAGTCATTCACATCCTAACAGCTAGCACAATTGAATTCCAGTCGTATACCTCCATCAACGAAAGGTGAATGAATCTTGAAATAAATTTCTACATTATACTTACCATTTTATTGTCGTAAATTAATAATTTCACATTTCATATTTTGCATAAGAGAAATCTTGAAAACCAAAAATACAATAATTCATCGTTAATCGCACACGTACCCCGTTCAACTTCGCCCCAATTACCTTTGCAACGAATCCCCGTAAAAAAAAACAAGAATGAATCTTTAAACAAAGTTTTCCATTGTATCATTTTGTAGTCGTAAATTCATAATATAACATTCATATTTTGCATGAAATCTACGAAACAAAAAACACACTAAATCATCGTTAACCAAACACGTACCCAATGCACCTTCACCCCAATTACCTCAACAACATATCACCCTATAAAAAAAAACAAAAAAACATCCCTCATTCTCAATTTCCATTCTCCGCTACAGAACGATCTTCCCTATAACACCGTAAAACCACCCAGCTAGAAATTCATCGTCCAGCCTAATTCGCTCCAGTCACTGGTAATTAGTCGACACCCTAGTTGTCACGACAGCCCCAACCCCCACAATACTCCCACGCTGCTGTTCGAGTCGTAATGGGAACGAGTCAAAAATATCATAACACAAAAGTTCGACCAGGAAGGAAACCGCAACGTTTCCCCTGTACTCTGTGTATCGCGAACGATCTTATCGGGAGCGAACGACGACGATCGTCCCGTGCGCGCAGGTGGGCGCAATAATTACTTCCCCGTGCTTTGGCCCCTTCCCTACCCTTCCACGACCGGGCCAGAGGGGTCGGTTCAATAACGATAACGATAATTGTCGCGGCCGGTGTCGTCGCACGTCGTTCCGTCCTTACCGCCGCAGATAAATTTCCGATAAGACGGATAAATTGGTCGGATTGTAATTGCCGTTGTGCGTGTTGCCGGGATGAGCGGGAACGTACATACATACATACATACGTGTATACCTGACCGGTGGAGACACGTGGGAAGCCGGGGGCGCCCCGCGAGGTGGCGAACGGGTGGCACGATTAAACGCCGCACCGTCGATGTTTACACCAAAACTCCGTGGGAATCGAGGTTCCTCTACCCCAAAACCAACCCCCGCCCCTCCCACCACCGTCGTGCGTCGGACAGAAAAGCACCCCGTCGACAGCTGCCCCAGGACAATCCGGAATTCGGGAAATCGACGCAACGACACCGCCGACGCTGGAATCTTTTCACGATTAATGACACGGAAGCGATTTTGCCGCGCGCGACGGTGCTAACGGGGTGTTCTCACAGCGAGAGAATTGGGTCTAAAGGGGGGCGGGAGAAGGGTGTTTCGGGTAAATGCGTTCATTAGCTGAGAATCGTGATGGGAGCTGCTGGTTGTACGGGATATTATGAACGCTCGTGTGTTTGTACAATTAAGTTTGTGTTACTGTTAACGATACGTTGGAAAGATATTTGTGTTTTTTTAGGGGGAAGATCGTCTGAGTTGTTGTTTTTTTGGAATTTTTAGAAAGGATTGAGTTAACAGGGGAAGGACCCCACTTGTCTGACTTCGATTTTAACGGAGTTTTGTAAGATAGTATACAGGTTCCTAACGATATATTTCTGAAATATTAGGGTAGACGCTCGATAATTTTAATCGTACAAACAATTAAAGTTATGTGCCTTTGAGATATGTAAGTCAAACTTAGATTGTTTGGCTGGTAAATCGGAGGCTCTGGGATCGATTCCTGTTCACCGACATATTTTCGTTTTACTTTGCCAATACAACTTTGATAACTTTGACTTATGTTCAGAGTACATATATTAAAGGTTCGTAACTTGTATTGTTTATATGTTGAAAATTATTGAGTGTTTACACCTAATAATTCACGTATATCATTAGGAAATTGTATACCATCATCTTACAAAATCCCGTTAAAATCGAAATCTGACAGTTGGGGTACTTCCCTTCTAAGGGTTGAAAAAGAGAATTCTTGGGTCGATGGAGGAATGATGAAACATCCAGCAGTTTTTAGTAGTATCATATATTTTCTCTTGACGTAATTAATTAGCTACATATTTACAGGAGAGAAATTGTACGTGGTTTTTTTATACATATATATATATGCACGTTTGTGTATTATACATTTATATTACAAAAGTTCGTCGTCCGCTACAGTTTGTCCCGAACTTCATTGCGATTTCTAAGAAATTGGGTCCTCTAAGAAAGGTCGTATCCGGCTAAAAGTCTTTATGCTCGCGTCTCCCTGCCACCGAAGAAGAATAATTGGCACAACTCTGTACTCTCAGTATAGTTCACCAAAAAAGAAAAGCAATTATAGAACTATCGGACCCGCATAGTTGTCTCTGTGTATTAACAAAATCGGCTTAAAACACGACACTCATAAGCTGTTTTAGTAGGTTCAATAACGAACATAAATTTTAGCGAGTACTCTTAAAAACCGCCAGCGGTTTCAACAGCACTCTCGACGTCATTCAACTTAAACTAAAGCATCGGTACTAAGCCCGTAACTGTCAGAACAGTCCCAGTTGTCAGTCGTGCTAGACTAGGTGTTCGCATCTCCTTCCAAAACGGCCCAAATGAAATTCTTAACGTCTTCCTACACACCTCTACATTCTATTGACCCGAGACATCATAAAATCGGCGCCTTAAATCCCTTTCCTTCCATATCCCTTATCATCGAGACCCAGACCCCAAGCCATCAGGCTCGATAACTCTACTCCCCCAGCTATCTACACACAGTCCAGTCTCAATCTTTTTCGATATTTACACGAAATCTGACGATTCCCATCTCCACAGTTAATTGTCCACCTTGCGCAGCACCTCCTCAGCCTTCACTCTCAGCACCTCCGCGCTCTGTCTCCTGATCTCGTCGTCCGACGAGGCCGAGTCCTCCTCCTTGTCGTGCTTCGAGCTCAGGTTCTGCGGCAGACTCTGCACACCTAGGTTCAAGGGATGCCCGTGCAAGTGGCTCCCAAGGGTGTGTCCGTTCACGTTTCCGTGATTCAGCGACGAGGCTGGGTTCAGGCCGACCGGTAGCACCGTGCTGAGAGACGCCAGGTTCTGGGGTAGCGGCAGACCGATGTACTGCGACAGGATCGCGTGCAACGGCGGCAGTTTTGGCGCGCTGACCGGCCACGGGGGCGGGAACACTGGCGGGATGAACCACGGGAACGCGCCCGCTGGTCCACCCGATGGGTCCGCACCTGGCACTCCGCCGGCGGTTTGAAGCAAACGAGCGTGAAGGGACAACTCGTTCACACCTGCAATCATACACACACACACACATATGGTTTTGCTGGGGATTTCAGTATTCGTTGTTTCTGCGAATTTGCCGAGGGTATATAGAGTTCAGAGAGGTCCGCGCGGAGGGACGACCGGTTGGCCCCTTTTGCGGTCCAACCACCCGGGGACAAACCGGCTAGGGACGCTGCGGTCCAGCTGTGCCTGCGGGCGCATTGGTTTTAAACTGACGTTAATTACCATTTACCACGTTCCGTTCGCTGTCGCGAACGTAAAGACATTCCGACGTGGATTATCCTAACCTGTCGGTTCTGTTTATGTCAGGTTACGTTATACAAGGTAGATCACGAAATGTGACCAGCTATCCCTACTGCTAGATCGAAACATTTTTTTGGATGCTCAACCATCAGTACAGAGGTCGTAAATAGAACTAAGACAGTCGTTTCTTAACCGTTAACGCGAGTGTACTGCAACTGATGGATTATTTTAAACATCGTTTTAATTAAGGTAAATGATATTTTCTTATCGTTTCTTTGATTTGGAAGAAAACATATTTGTCATGATGCTTGCCAAATTGATCTCAGTATTCTCTAAAAGATAGGCGGAAAAAAATTATAGGTTCGTATAAAAATTGAAGGTGACCTTGGAAACTATGGAAAAATGGGTTGACAGAAAATGTGGTACAATCATGTTAAAGCTCCCTTAAATCATGTTATATTAGCCAAGAAAATGACCGAACAGCTAGCAGTAGAATACTCTAAGCTGACCACGTTTCGTGGTCCACACTATTTGTATACACAGACGATCTGAACTTCTGGGCTCTAAAATCTAAGGTACTTGAATCTCTACTTCATTTTCAAATGGCACCAACATGACTATCCGATCTAAACGCATTCTTTAACTTCTGGTGAACTTCCGTAGAAAGTAAACACCTAGTTCTTTGTTCATTGACGAGCAATTATCGAAACGAAACGGAGAATCAATTTGTTGTTTTGCAGTCGAAAGAAATTCATCCGTTTGTCCCCGAGATCCGCAGCAGACACGAGTTGCAGGGAACATCGGGAGGTCGATTTATGAAAAATTAATCGGTCAAGCTTCCGTCGCGCATCGTTCGCATGCGATGTCCACGAGGGCCGACACTGAAATTACATGTAATTGGCCGCCGATTGCATCTACCCTTCGTAACTTTACTCGCGCCTCGCCTAGCTCGCGCATTACCAAACCACCCCCCTTCCCCCATACGATTTATGGTGTGTCGTGAGCAAGCAGAGGGAATAGAAATAAATTCTTGATTTCCCTAACAAATCGTGAACGTTCACAAACAAACCGATTCGTTCGAACATGGAACGGAGAATTGGGTGAAAGACAGAAACCGCTAAACTCACCGCTTTGTTCAACGTGCATATAGCTGGTGTCTCTGCCGAGGGCCTTCTCCTTCTTGCGCCATTTCGCGCGTCGATTTTGAAACCAGACCTGGAAGCAGAAAGGAGAACAGACTTTTGAGTCTCGTGGGTATCTGTGGATGGTTCCGCGAGGATAAGTATTCGAAATTAAAATTCAGTCTGGGAATCGTTAAGAATCTTATCTGGAAATATTTTACTAGGTTCTTTAGAGAATGGCTCCCAGCTTTTTCCCTCGCGGATTAACGGAACAATTGCCGCGCGAAATCATCGAATTATTTCTCGGAAGAAAATACGGCCAGCGACGCATGAGAACCCTAGGCCCTGCCGTATCAGAACCACCCAACAAAAGCTTGCTCTCGAGGTTGATTAAGCTAATTGTTAACAATTATCCTGATTTCCTCCGTACCCCTGAGTGCCGGCGCAACCCCTGCCCTCTCCCCTCGCTTTCCTACCGAACCCCCACGCCCCTCCTGGTGGCACGCCGTTACCCGCTGCTGGCCCCGTTGCCATATAAATGCTTTCGCTTTCCGCCTGAGCTGCTCCGATTTTTCGTGGCCACCGACAGACCCCCGCGAAAGAGACAGAGAAGCCAGGGAGAGAAAGAAATTGCGTTTTACATCCTGCCCCTATTGTGCGGGAAATCCAGCGCTTTTTAGCCGACGACGGTCACCCGGGGATCGATCGGATACGCGTGGATCGGCAGATCATCTTCTCGCGACGGCTTTCTTCCCAGATAGATTTTCTATTGTGGGGAACATTGACGGTATCAACGATACCCGACATATGGTGAATTTATATCGTGGGATGTTTAGAAAATATTCCAGGGGATCCTGTGTCGTTCTTGATGAGAGTAATAATATTGGTTTTGAAAACGCGATTTGTCTGTTGTATGGTCAATCATGAATAATTTGGAACTATCAAGAAAGTAAAAATGTAAATGTAGAAGGGAATATACATATATGTATACATATATAGACTCCCGTCCATATGTCATGGATTGTTTTGAGATAAATGGAAATCCAAAGAGAAATGTAATTTCTTGAAACAATTTCAGTATCACTTTAATAAAATTCTAAAATACTAATCGGTTATAAATTTTTTAACATTATTCTTAGTGTGGTCAACTTAATACAATCGAGGAATTCCGACAGTGATATTTAAAAGGACTAAGAACACGCGAAAAAATCAACACTTCGATGTCGGATGACGTTCAGTGAGACACTTGAGATTCGTTTGTTTCATAAATTTAAGTAACACTTTAACTCTTAACACTTTCTTATCCTACGTATCCGATGACTTATGGACAGGAGTGTAAATCAATTTCTAGCTAGTTAAAGATTAAATTTGAAGAATATACATTCAAATCGTTATAAAATGAAATAAAAAATGCAGACGTCACCCACCGAGTATTCCACCTATCGATCGATACTAATTAACTGGATTCGCACGAGTCTCTGATTAAAAGAAACAAGCAAAACAGATCGGTGGTATATCGCGTCGAAACGAAGGTAGCAAAATCAAGGGAGGCTCAACACAGCGGACTGGTCGGAACATTTAAGTCGTCGGTGAAACGTGCGAGGGAACAGAGGCGAACGTTGCCGAGGCCGTGGGCGGGAAATTCAATTGCCTAATTGCTGTTAATTATTTAATCGCTCCTGAATACCCCGCTAACGCCTAAGTGCTCGCAAACCTTGCAGCGCGTCGTTTAAGCGACCCAAGCGCGAACCCGAAAGTTTGAATCCCTCCCCCGGAACCCGAGGCCTGGGTACCAACCCAGCGCCGGTGTAACGTTCCCAACCATCATCCACCGCAAAATTTCCTGTTCGCGCTCTCTCGTTTCGTCGATTCCCTTTCCTTTTTATATTCCTTTCGCCATAAATCCCGTTACCGTCTGCACATATCCCTTTTTCACTAATTTCCACCTTTGTCTTTGTCCATTGTTCCAGACACCAGACACAATACCGTCGAATCACTTGACTACAGGCGAACGGTATTTCCTCGAAAAAAGAAAGGAAAAAGAACTCCTATCAAATCCAAACGCGACGATGGAGACGCACAGGCGTCGGGAAAAGCGAAAGCGAATCGGATACGACGAAGTGTCATCAGTGAGTGGGAGGGGAATAGGAAACGGAACAGAAACGATTCGCGATTCCATTACCACCGGGGGGGTACGGATCGTCGATCGAACGCGATACAACGGGTGGGGAGGGGGAGGGGACCGGCCATTAATACCGAAAAATGGGTAATTTCGCATCTGGAATTGAGGGCGGCCGAGGGAGGAGCGGCGGAGGATTTCCTAGATTGAAATAAAGTGGCCGTGGCACCACTGCGCCGCGGCGGATCATTTAGCGGTTTTGTCGAGCGACGGCCAATTGCCGGCATTGTCGCTTGGCTGTACCACAATGGGCCAATCGGAATGCTCTCTGTCTCTTTTCAACTCTCCGCGCCACCCTTCGACGACGGCTCCATCCACGACCCTTCTCTCTATACTACACACAGACATGCGGAGATACACACACAGAGAGGGAGAGAGAAAATCTGTGTATAGATGTGTACATGGTGCTCTTTCTCGCTCTCTTCATCCCTCTTTCTCGATCCTCTATCCTTCTTCTATCTACATCTCGGTCTAGCTTCCTCTTTCTGTCTCTGGCTCTCTATCACTCCTCGCTCCAGCCTGTCAGTCCCTCTCGCGTGGCCTATGTACGAGGGTGTCAGGATGGTTACGCTAATCGAGTAACCGATTTCCATCCATGGAAAAGTCATAATTTATGGCTGAACGGCCGCGAAACGGTGCCCCCCCCCCCCACCCCTGCAACATGTCGTCGCGGCGATTCCGCCGCCGCGTCACGTAACTCGTGCTCGTTTCCCTCGGACGATCGAACCGATAATACAAATGAATGGAGGCCGGTATATTTATCTTTGCGCGCGATCGTTGGCAAGCGATCGGACGATTTCGAGCTCGGTGCAACAGGGGGCCCGTTGAAGAGAGACAAACGGGGGGAGGGGGGAGGCTGATTCTTCGATGTATGAAAATATGTATTACCGTGCTATAATAAGTTACAGGTTGATAACGTTCTCTCCCCCGTAATAAGAACGCATTTGTTAATGGACCGCCCCGTCATTTTTTGTTCTTTTTTCTTCTCTTTCTCTCTCTCTCTATCTTTTTTTTTTTATATGGATTAGCGTGTTCTGCTGCGACTACCGTTCTTCCGACACACTCGAAACGAATGAACGCGACCGGAGGGAAAAAGAATGTCAAGCAGATTAAAACGCTATTGAAATCGTGGACACACCATCCGCCTATCGTTTTTAACTGTGAGTTTTATCGATCTAGACCGTGTGCCACGAGGAGGGGGCAATGCATAACGTACGAAAAATTCGTTGTTTCACCGGTAAATACTAAAAACAAAAAAAAAAAAAAAAAAAAAAAAAAAAAAGAGGTACAATAAAACACACGACTGTCGAATGAGGTATTGTTCTGTGCTGTTTGAAATTTATCTATAAGGAATTACAATTGCGTTGTATACATGTTAATTCCTATCCGATTTATTTTCTATTATTCTGTTTTACTTTTTTGTCTTCCATTGACTTCGAAATATGCCCACCTGGCGATCTCTCACGGAGCCGTTAAAAAACGCGGCTGGGAAATAATTTCAAAGCAGATTACACGACCCCGAGCGCGCGCACGTTCTTTATCGTTCGACTGGCTCGTATGGAATTAATCCACCCCGTTATGGTATAGCACAGAGGGTACACGGGGTCTGATGCGTCTTTTGCGAAATTACCGACGCCGAAGAGGAGCGGCAGATTTTCGGGGTACAATGGTGTGTAATTAGTTGAGAGGCCCACACTGAGGTTACGGCTCAATTCAACGCGCGCATCCTACATTCGAATATCTGGTTTGAAATGCTGCCGACGAGCGAGCTGCGGGCAGGGTTTAAAGACGGTTTCGAGGACCTTCCGGAACCGTAATACTATCAAACTCCCTAGTCGATAAAAGAAAAAGAAGCAACGTTGAAGGACGTATGTTTGCTTCTGGAGGATTGCTCCGCGAAATATTCTGTAAAATGCAGGCGGATCTAGTTGATTGGCGACACTTACTTTGAAACATGAAATACACGTGTGCTACTTTCATTCTAAGACTAATTTTTGACAGTTCAAAAATGTCCAAGGAAATATCTTCCTTTTACTTAATCCTTTAACACCCAGACTCTTAAATCAGCATTTTAAAATTATAACACTGATATGTTTGTTGTATCTTGTTATTTTAAAGTCGAAAATATCGATATTAAACAAAACCTTTTTTCACTTTTTTCTTTTCTTTTATTTATTTTTAGAAGGAATACTTGACTTTCTGAAAACGTGAATATCTATATGACAAAAGTTAGATATTTTTATTATGATTTATTATTATCACTTTTAAAATGAATGTTGCACCGGTGCGACTCTGGGTGTTAAAGGGTTAATCGATTCTTAAGGTAACACATTGAATGCAAATCAATTCTTTTAATTAAGAAATATAGAGTGATCAAAATTTAAGGTCTAAGAACGTACGAGCTTATAATCCTGACCAATGGGTCGATAAGTAACACAGGTGTGTCTGTCGTCAGACAAAACCTCAAATCTCCTCACAGAATAATACTGTTTTCTTCTGTTATTTTACCTTGTCGATAATTAATAATTACACATTTCTTCTTGCACAATCGTAATTTTCTGCATACTTTAGTAAATACTCTTACAAATTTTGTTGTTCTTTTTCGCCATTTATTTTTCTAATTCCTTATACAGTTCTGCAGAACCTTTGTTAAATTTTGTTAAACTTTCTTAATAGTACAAGTTTCTGTAAACTCTGGTATATCTTTACGCATTATTGTATATCTAAATGTTCCGTTTGTCCTTTAGACTTCCATACACTCGTATATATTGTACCAGAGGGTTCATAACCCGTTTATAAATAAAGATTATTATTAAAACTATTCGCAGAAGTGAGAAATACTATGAAACTACCGACGAATAAGAAGAACAATCGATTTCTGATCGAATAATTAAAAGTTCACCTGTACTCTAGCCTCGGAAAGATCCAGCCTCGTTGCCAGTTCTTCTCTGGTGAACACGTCCGGATACTGCGTGCTCTCGAAAGCTTTCTCGAGCTCGTGCAACTGATAGGTGGTGAACGTGGTGCGGGACCTTCGGACCTTCCGTGGCCGGTCCGATTCCCCTAGGTTCAAGGGATCGTGCAGGGCATCGTTTATCTGATGATCGCTCAAATGGCCAAGTTCTGTGTCTCCGCCGTCAACGATCGCGTCCGACGACGTCGCATGATCTGGAAAGAACGACGAGAAAACTGATTCGTTAAACGCTCGCAACTTTGATCTTGAAACTGCTGACTAAGTATTTGTTAGTAGCAGTGATACACACTCTCTATCGCAAGATTGGAATAACTTCCTCGACGAGAACTTGGTCGTGAATTTTGTCACCTTGAAAGAAGACACAAATATCAAGCTTGTATGGACAAACAAAGGGCACAGGTAGATGCAGATAATGGTAAAACAGTGGAGAAGAAGGCTGCGCGATTTTGTACTCCTGAGCAGTAGTTTATGTCAGTCAATGTACATGCAATACCGCTCGTAAGAAAATGTGACGTTTCATAAAAGTTATACCTTTTAGACCACTTTTATTATTTCGCTGTAACATAAACGTTATCTATCAAGCTTTAATTTTCCCTAAGGAATATTTATTTCAGACTTTCAGCAATTTTGTGTTGCCTTGTAACATTCACTGTATATTCGATAAATGTCCTAATGAAAAATCCTCGCCCGTAAGTTACCAAACACTTGATTACTTTGAGAAAAATGGAAATCGAAACAGAAACGGAACTTTTTGATCGTGTGATCTTTAACCTCTTTAACCTCAAATATCTTTCAGTATTACCGAACAAAACTCACAAAATCATAATCAGCTGAACAATTTTTTAGCACTAACCATAGTCGAGCAAATTTATTCAAAAAATCAATGATGAACCAGTGGAAATGATCACAAACTGATTCGACTAAAAATCAGGGAGTATTGTCCTAAAACAATTCACTGTTATTGTGCCACCAATTAAACGCATATTCAAAATTGTACACGACATTGAATATAATTCACAATTTTCTCTGTAACATGCAAAATTCATAAGAATCGGTTCATTTCATAATTCAAGTGCCCATTTAACGCTAACTATTCCTTCTTCTGCATTTGGTAACGTGAGTGTTCTGTGCCATCCCCTATCAATATGCTGTACAGTTCCTTCATATCGATGCACCTGCTCTCTCTCTCTTCAAAAAGACGTCGAGATACCTCAAGAACAAGAGCCTTTTCGAATTTTGAACGACCTTTCGATTCGTTAACGGTACACCATCAATCGCGCACACAGAGGCACGAGCGGATAGTGTTAAAAGGTTGCACGCGTATTCAAGTCCGGATACATAAGCGTGTATCAAACGATCGCCAGGACCTTCGATGCTCGAGCAGCAAGAGAGGATCGGGGCGATTAAGCTAAATCGTCCACGCTGCCAAAACGAAATTGACGTTTTCGCCAGTACACACAGACACACATACATGGGTGAGGAGTGGAGACCATGTGGGGGAGGGAGTAGCGAAATGGGGGTTGGAGATGCTGCGGGATCGGTCGGCGCGGGTGCAATTTCATTTTTAAGCCGACTGCCACCGATATACGCCCCGATACGCCGATCATGTCCGATCGGCGGATTTGCCAATTTTAAGCCTCACCCGGCGCTTCATTTTTTTCCTGTTATTTTTTTTTTCCTTTTTTTCTCTGCGCGCATCCCCGGCCCGTGTGTATGAAAATATGACGCATCGATGCGAGCCTGTACATTATATCTACACGCTCGATAGTCCTTAAAAACCGTTGCCGTCAGTGATTAGCAAATATCACGAGAGTGCATGTCGTACATTGGTTGCCCCCGACGAACGGATGCGCGCAACCCCTCTCACTCCTCTGATGCAACCCTTGCCGACACGTAGCCGTGAAATACACAAACACACACGCCTGCTTCGACCCTCCTCCTTCACTTATTCTCTCCTTCACTCTCTGGATTTTTTCCAGCCCTGTCTCTCGATTTTACCACCCCGCGTGGACCCTTTCCGTTTCCCGTCTTTAACGGGAAGCATCGACACACCGAGGAACTCTCGAAGGCTCATTACAACGAACTACACGCAAAATGTAGATTTTTACCCCGACTGGGACAACAATTACCTTCTTACGAGCGGTTTAAAGTTACACGGGGGTAATACGATACCCAGCGTGGTCAGAGAGGGGGAATGGAACCAGCGGATGCGGTGGGAACTTTTGTGATACATTTGAAACGTGTATCGAACCGGGGGGTTGTTGGTAATGCCCGTGATTAGTCCGTTGTCGTTATTCCCGATTGGAAAGATATAGTTCAGTAACGATGTTAATTGTACTGTAAAGACTGTGTGAGTCAGTATTAAACAAGTTGAAACATCAAAGAAGAAGTCCTGACTAACTGATTGACTCATCAACGCCCAGCTCTTATCGTTTCACGTAGGAAGTTCCTAGTGGGAACATGAAATTTTAGAGGTAGCTGCCCCTTAGAGCGTAGGCGCCCATTAAGAAAGGATTTTTCGAATTCCCTAAAGGGGTGAAAATAGGTAAAATGTATTTTCTGGCAATCTTTATTATCTCTTAGACCCATATTAAAATTCCATTTACAGGGGGTGAAAAGAAGCAAAATGTGATTCTGTGCATTTCTCAATATCTCTTAATCCAGATACGATAACCCACTGCTTTTTGCTTAAAAATGCGAGTTATTCAAGTGCCTGGAAAGTAATTTCAGGATTTTTTTAAATTCTATCTCTAGGGGGCGAAAAGGTGTCCGAATAAACGGGGATAAATTTATCTATTTCTTCACTTCTATTTTCTTTCTTTACAATTCAACTTAAAAATTTTGTTTAATAAATAGTTTAAACAAATCCCGAAATCCACGTGACAGAAACCGCGGAAAAACAGTTACTACCGAATACAAGGTGGTAATTGTAGGAGTAGCTGATATTACGATTTGTATAACTTCTCTGTGCAGGTATAAATGAGTCTACGGTAGGAACTACCCTCAGAAATATCAACACGATAAGAGAAATTGAAAAAACAAACCCCCTCCGAATTTCACCGATCAGGAGTCTACTTAATGCCTCTAAATGTATCAACATAACCTCAACAAAACATTCATATCGCGTGATAAAATCTGCAACGAACTGCATCGCGGTAATTCAATGTATGCGTCGTTGTTTAAAAGAAACTCCGAGTCCGATAACCATTTAATTTCAATCGTCTTTGCCCAATTAGAAGATCAGACGCTCTCGATCCCGCAATGAAGGGCAAAATTACTCGCGAAATTAGATAATAACGCGATAAGGACCGCCAACGTCAGATTACAACGGAGTTTCAATGTCTGTCTCACTCCTCCCCCACCCTTCCGCCTCCGAGCGGCGCCCGTGTACCATCATCCCCTTACGCGCCGTTTGCTTGAACTAATTAGACGCGCATTTACTACTCGTGCGTAATAACGTTAATCCTACTTTTCGGTGCCGCTCTAACCGGCGGCAGTTGCCATAGATCGCCGCGTACCGCCCGATGCGAATCGTTCGAACACGGGGGGCGGGCGCGCGCGAGCGTATGTCAGAGCACACACGCACACATCGTGGAGAGAGCCAGATTCGAGAGAGAGAGAGAAAAAAAACGGAAAGGGAGAGGAGCACCGACTCCGGTGCACAGGCTACACACGCGTGTACGTGCGCTGGTAATCGCACTAACATTTACGCAAACAAACGTCCGGATAATCCACAGTGAATAGAGAGATTTTTATGTTTTCATGCTAGGGCACAATGGGGCACCCACTTGATGCCTAACTCTCTGCGCTGCTTTTTATTAAATCTACGGACCCGTCCGACAAGGGGTTGGACCGAAGGGGTAGCGAGGGTACCCCCCACCCCCACCCCCTCCTGGTAAAAGCGGTCCGCGGCGCGAAATTAAAGATTTATTTACCAGTGACCCTGTGATGGCTGCGTGCCCGATACCATCGACTTCCTAGGCGATACTTCGTCTATGTCCACGATATTCGCTCGGTGAACAGTTATCGAGACGATATAGGCAAAGGTTGCCGAATTTGGACTGTCGCCTAGGTTGGACAACTACTGGTAACTTGTTATGTGTAAGCAATCTGCGACACATGATAGACTATATGTGTATGATAGTGACGATTGCATTAACACTGTCACTACCAAACACGTCAAAATGGCGGATTGTACATTTCTTATTTTACGACTAAGGAAATTGTAATGGTACTTTTGGCGGAATTTATGTTAACTTTTAATTTACTATACATTCTATGTTATACTATATAATGCTAAGTTACACTATATACTATGTGTATTACTGTATTATACAATTTAATTCAATGTACACTTAATACTGGTAGTTCTAGTGTTAATTAACTTAGTAAGCAACACGTGTTATGTATCATACGGCGAAAATTGCTTGCACTCGACAGGTTACCAATAGTGGTTCAACTTAGACGATGGGCCAAATTCGACAACCTTCCCCTATATCTTTTTGGTCACCTTCGGACGATAAAACGGGGGAAACAGAAACATTGCGAAACCTAAGTAGTATGCAGAGATCGTAAGCTATCGACAAATCAAATTGAATGGATCACCTTCAGTCACACGAATTGTCATTATTGGCTAAGTCGATCACGTCCATAGGTCTATCGCGTGACGAAGAACGTGAAGGAAATAGATCAAGATAGAGTGAAATGGAGCGATAACGCAAGTCATTCAGTCGGTAGTTACTTCGGCAACTTACGATCTCTGCACAGTAGTTAAATGTTTATTCTGATAGTTTCCTACTTTTGAAGACAGGACATCTGGAGTAATTATTACACGTAACCCAGGCACTTTATGTACAATGTGCTGAAGAAGAAGGAAACAGATTTAAAGGATGGCTAGGTTTCTGTCTACTTTCAGAATGATTACAAGCTATATTTCTTTGGAATTACATTAGCGATAAACGAACTGGGGATTGAAGAAGAGTAATGTTTAAAATGTGTCCAGATTAGGTCCTTCATGACTGACAGATTTTAGGGGCTAAACAAAAGGATCGGTAGGTTTCTGTCTGCTGTCGAGATGATTCCAAACTATATATGTTTTTTTTTAGAATTACATTAACAACGAACGAACGAGAGGGTTCGAAGAAGAGTAGGTAATGTTTAGAACATGTCCAGATTCAGTTCTTCCTGACAGATTTTAGGGGCTAAAAGAAAAGATGATTAGGTTTTGATCTGTGATCAGGATTCAAATGATTTCAAACTATGTTTCTTTGGAATCACGTTAACGACAAACGAACGAGGGGGGTCACAGAAGAATAAGTAATGTTTACAACATGTCCAGATTGAGTTCTTCCTGACTAGACAAATGTTAGGGGCTAACCGAAAGGACGGCTAAGTTTCCGTCTGCGATCAGGATGATTCCAAGCTATGTTTCTTTGGAATTACATTAACGACAACCGAACGAGGGGGGGGGGTCGAAGAAGAGTAATGTTTAGAACGTGTCGTCCAAATTGGGTTCTTCCTGACCCGGCCGTCGACGTCCGAGCATTAATTGAATTTTCGTGGCTCCCCCGTAGGCGATATATTCATTCTCGTGCGATTCATACGTTGCGTCGGTTACGTCCGTTGACAATATTGACCGTGAACAAATTGAAAATGAAATTCCGCGATTACATTATACCCTCCCTCCCCTTCGTTTGATCGGCTGGTGGAATCGAGCGCGTCGATCTGTAAGCGATTCCCGGCGGATCGTATCAGTGGTACGTGCTACGCGTAGGTATTATCAGACGCATTAATTATGTTAGACGACTGTACGCTCGAAATCCGCAAACACATCCTGATTTATACGCGCCACAGACAGGCCGGACCAATAATCGGTCCACCTGTATACAGTGATCATTCGACTACTGTGTTCCTACGTGTATGCCCACATGTATCATTAAACGCAACGCTAACGGCCAAATAGTGCAGGGACCAGCTGAATCTTTCTTCGTGGAAGTGATATTGTTTAAACGCCGAGCTACCTGAATCTTTCTTCAGAGAAATAATATCGTTGTTCACGCGTTAACCGACGTGATTTCGATGAACTTTCCGTTCACGCCACGCGGTGCTGCTAACTGATAGTTGTTTGCAAATGTTAGAAAATTTCGTGAGAAATGTTAATTCAGGCAAAACGATTTGGAAGGTACAATGCTATGCCAGTCATCGATAACCAACGCGACCTGAACGAAAGGTTCAATATCGGTTACGGATGGCCGACATGGCACTGAACATGATGAAGGAGGACTAAATTTTTCATTGCTTAGTAGAACTGGTAATAATAAGGAAATTTTATTCTTAACGTTATTAAACGGTAAGAATTATTTTCTTTACTATTTGTTAACCCCAGATCACTAGAATATCGAAAACATTACTACCTTGAATTCGCGATTCTTAGAAAATCGACATCGTTACCGTCAATGTCGTCGACATATTTCCAAGTTGTGTTAAATAATTACTGCCTTAATTTTCCAGTATTTAACGTAGATTTCTACCTCAACAAGAATAGTATTTTTCTAAAATATTACACGTTCTCTTTCAGTTGTAATTTTTATGAATGATTAATAATAACGTAAGTCACAAGACAGTTTAGTGATCGAGAGTTAACGTATTACACAACGGCCAAATCTTTCACTGCTTCATAAAAGGACATTTATTCTATTTCATTTATATACCACCTTTTCGAGCAGTTTCCAAGAAAGACCGATTCATGTAACAATTCTCTCGAGATTACCAAGTTGCCATTAACAACACGATTCATTGAGAAGTAGTACACCTGCACGCGACCACGTGTAATAAATCCGAAACGTGCAATTTTGATCGTGCATTTCGATAAAGAATCCCTTAACGTCTACATTTCTGGACAACGGTAACACAATCACGGTAACTCACGGTCGCATCTCTATACAACATACATACGCCGTTGGAACGGATTACACACAAGGTCCGAACTTTACGGCTCCAGAAAATCTAATAAAATCCGTAAGAGGGTTTACGGGGTAATACGTTCATCGTTAAACTCCGCCCGGGATAATCGTTTCAACGAAAAAAAAAAAAAAAAAAAATTGGCGTGCGCAACTTTCTTTAGACGGCGCGTGGGGGGAGTGGGGGAAGTTAATAAGTGTAGGTTTACGTAAGTTTATTAATTCCGTATGGCGTGTTCGGAGGGTCCCCCCGATCGAATTAGGACGTATAGGATCGTCAATTTACACGTTCGACCGCGGGCCGGTTGCACGTTCCTTTTTATGGGGGCGTGTAAGTTCGGAACGAGAGGAAAAAGCCATTACGTGTTAATTATCACGTCCTGTACCAAGACACCGTTCTATGTCGTGCCGGCCATATATGCATCGCGTAACATTGTAGAGAAAAACCGTCGTGATTTATCGCGAAACCACGGACACGTGACATACACACACGTACACACACGGCCATTCTGAAATTAACTCCATTAAAAAGGTAATCTCGGTTTCTTGAGAAAACGGGCCACCACGGATCACACACAGGTTACGAATATTTTAATGAAATAATTACGTGTTCGTGCGTATACTCGGTGACCAAACCGAGTGAAATGGGCTGACGCAAATAAGCGTGTGCATACGCCACAGGATCGCGTGCCATAAGCAAGACCGCGCGTCGTAAATTTACACCGCGCTGATCGTCGCCGCAGATTCGAACCGTCGACCTAATTAGCCCTTTTAAAACACTTACGGCAATTAAGGAGCAAGCCCAAAATGAGACCCTGGGTGGGAAGTGTCTTCGACGATAAGCAATTGGTATCCGGTGACGTGAATGGTTTCGCCAACGCAACCATCAGGATCGATCGACCGTTCGATCGGTCGTCACGATTTCGAAAATAAACCGATGAAATGCCATTCGCTAAATTGACATATAATTACCGTCCGCAATATCTGATGCGCCGTACGATGGGTTAACACAGATAACCCACTTTGTTTCAGTTAGAAGGAAACAGTTCTCCTTTTATCGCAATCGGCGCCGGGATCGATGCCAGGGCGGCAATAAAATGTTGGTAAACGAGACCTTAGTTTACTTAACGATATTAAATACCAGATAATAATACAATATTACACGGGGTCGGCGTATTAATCGACGAGAAAATCGAAACTCAGTCTATACGTATTCCAGAGGAGCCTAACTTCGCTGAGGGAACGGTAATCATTTTATCACGATCAATGAATTAAATAATAAAATTCCCATACGAAAGCTACAACGATGGTCTTTTATAGGATTCCATGGTACCATCGATGATCCACCGATCGCGCGAAATGCCACGATTCCTTCGACACGTCATTCGCACGGTTCTCCAAAGAATCACAAGAATTCTATAAGTAGATCGTACCTTCGTCCTTCGCGTGTCCCAGGATCTGGTCGATGCTGTACACGTTCCTTTTCTGATTGTATGTTTGCGCCATGCTTCCCTCTAGGCTGGCGGCGTCCACGCCGGAAGTCACTGGCTGCCAACCCCAACAACGGTGAACCGGAAGCCCAGTTGCTGGACGTCTCACGAGAGATAATACACTGACGGAAATTTAATATCTGTCGTCCGATAGATCACGTTGGAAAATCGTATCTCCCGCTGGTCCCGCGGACAGATGGAGCTCTCGTTTGTCGAAAAAAAAAACAAATACGTTTTCAAGCGCACGCGAGAGCTGGCAAGACAGAGGCGGAAAAAATCGGACTGTCGGACGAATCGGAAAGAAAACCAACGGTAAAACGACGAAATCGTCGAGCGACGGAGCGCGTTTTTCAAGAGGGGTTCCACGCGGTCTCTACACCCGACGTCCGAAAAGAAAATGCGTCAATCGACGGCGCACCACGAACTGGCTCGTCGGACATGAAAGCAGCCCTTAATATCGCGTACAGCCGCCCCACCTCGCAACCCCTAACACCGCCATATTAGCCTCCCCGCCAATGAGGGCGCGCGGTTCTCACCCAAAGCCACCCCGCACTCGGGGGTTGAATGAGGCCTGGGCGGGGAATATTTTGCCCTTTCCGCGTAAATCCCCGGATTTTTTTCCACCTCCTCCTCCTATCCACCTCCTACCGGAGTCATCCTCCTTCTATCCAATCCCTCTGCTTTTCTCTCTGTTCGTCCAACGGGACCGACGTATGTCCATCCCTTTGTCTGTCTTTTAGTTTCCCTCCGTCCCTCCGACGTGCCGCGGAGGTTTCGATCCAAACGGCGGGATATCTCTTCTTTCCTCTCCAGCGGGAGGAACGGCGAGGATTATTTACCGCGTCTTTCGAGGTTTACGCGAATTTATTTTTTTTCTTTTCGGGATCGCGATTACTTGAGTCGGTTACTTCGGCCAGGATTCGTTCTTGCTTCATTTGGTTATTTTGGTTACTTCGTTTCGTTACCCGAAGGGTTTTGTTAACCCTTTAACTTGTGGACTCTTACTACACCGTTCATATTCATTTCTTTGCTCTTACGCAATTTACATTTGTCTACATTTGTTTTTGAAATAAATCGTGGGAAATTAAGGTAAATAACAGGTGAGAAAGAAATAAAATCATGTATTTAGCTCATATTACCCTAAACGAATAAAAATGTCCTCCCTAAGTTACCGTTTCGGGACTTCCGTTTCCGTAGAAGATAAGTCTCTTACCACTTAGTAAATTTATTTCAAGTACTGAAATAAATGTTAAGCCGAATGTTAATTGGGCATAAATTGCAGTAACTCCCAAAATTAAATGGTAGGAGGCCGTTCACCTACCTCACTTTTTCCCCTAGCGGAAGCCGAGTTTGCTCGTCGGTGTACATGACACTTTAGTCCTCAAAACTCAATTATATAATCGCTGGAATATTAACATTCACACTTTCACGAACTGTCTACAACAGATCACGTATGATTGTCAAAGTCTGGTAACTGCACACCCACTCATAAGTATTAGAACACTTATCGAATATATAATAAATGTTACAATGCATTACGAGATCGCCGAAAGTCTGAAATAAATATTGTTTGAGAAATATTATAGCTCGATGCACCACGTTTATATTACCATGAAGTAATAAACATGGCCAGAAAAAATTAGGTGTACAAATTACTTCGTGTCTCCAACAATTAATTATTGATTCAAAATTGCCATCATTTTTTCGAAAGGGTATCAGCCAACTGTCCGAGAAATACCTTAAATATGCACAAAATGATAGGGAATATTTTCAAGACAACAATTCTATGAAAAGAAGGCGACAAATTAATTTGTCCACCTAATATATCATTTTTAAGAAAGATCACATTTCCTTCGTACAGAACACGTGTCCTAACACCTATGAACGATGGTGTATGTTCGATTACGTCAGGACCCACTCTTTCAATAATTTTTCATTTCTAGAATCGTTCGAGCAGATAATCGACAGCTGTTTAGATCGTTTACGAGCCACTTTTCCACACAATCGAGCCCCGAACACATCAAAAAAGTATCGAAGAAAACTTTCATTTGCACGCCTCTAGGTTCACGAAACTTAGAAGATGATCAGGGTCAGAGCACGGAGTATTCAGCGTCCTTCATCGTCGACGCTTTTCACGTGAAATGATTAGCTGGCCGAGCGTATCTACGGAAGCCGCAGGTAACACGGGAATACTGGAACCCCGTGGCTTTCAATGTAATTGCGAGAAACGAGGTCGCCTCGTTAATCGGCGTCCATGGAAAAAGGTTCGCTCGAAAATTTGCTTACGATTATCCTGCTTATTCTAAGACAACGCCTTTCCCGCGCTCGGCCAACGAGAATCAGTAATCTAATCCTAAGACGCGGCGACGGTCCCCCCAGGACCGCACAGAACGCGTTCACGAAAATCCGTGCGCCCGTGCCAGTGTTCCACGTTTCCATCCTTTTTACGAAATCTTCTTTCGTAATCTGTCTTTGGCCCGTCGATAATCCCGAGGACCGAATGGGCCCCCAGAGGTACCGAATACTCTCATCCTCTTCCTGGATACCCTGCTCTAATTCACTTCCGTTGTTGTGCGAAACAACCTGTTGTATATATTCCTTAATTACTGGCTTTGGTTTTCCACCATTCCTTGTGATTGAACACACCCCCCCCCCTCCCAAGGGGGCTAACATATTTTCTGGTTTAAAGGGGCAGGGTAAAAAATACTCCTGACAGTGATGGGCAAATTCATTATTTAGATAAAGAGTTTCGAATAACGAAAAAAAGATTAAAAAAAGTAGTATTTGTAATCGTTTATACGTGGAAATTGCGATTTTTGTAATATATTAATACTTCTTTTTAAATCAGTCGACATTTGGTAAACAAGTATTTCATTTTATTAACCGTTGGAAACTGCAACTTTTGTCTATGTATTATTCGAATAAAGTTGTGCCCAACTCTGACTCCTGGTAGCAAATTATCAGAATAACAACCCAACCAAAGTTCGGCACAATTTTCTTCGAATAATATAGTAATTATCGCGGTGTTTTAATGTATCAGTAGAAAAATGAACCAAATGCGAAAGAATTGTTGTTACTCCAGTAAAACAAAGTTTTATCTTTAATTTGGTATTAACAAACGTGCAAAAAAATAGTAATTGAATTATAATATAATTTTTAAAGTAAGGATTGCAAAGGGTGCAATAGCTGAACACCTAAATCATATACCTGTATTTCATTCTGAGCTATCAAAATTTACATATAAATTTCAAAATAGTTAATAAATATTCAGTAATTTTTTGAAAGAAAACTTTTCTCATAAACTATAGTATCTACATATATATGTATTAAACTGACCAGGAATTGGGTTCTGATCAGGAACTGGGACCATAACGGTAGGTGTGCAATACTTTGGAACACCAATGTACAGACGCGTTTTACATGGAATGGTAAAACCCTATAATATAGTAAATACTATATGTTCTTCGTAATTTAATACACGACTATATTATATTTCTATGAATTCATGAAACAGAATCGCGACGTTAAATGGAATTTAACAAAGTCGCGCGATTAAACGATGAAATCTCCATATAATCACCATAAATTTGATCGCCAGAAAGGGACGTAACGGCCGCGATTATTAAATTTCCGGGATTTATTTAACGAGACAGAGTATCTTCGGTCAATCACGTAAAGGTGCGGGTGTACAGTGTCACCCCGTTCCTGCCCTTCGATACAGCGGCGCTTTATAATGCAAATAAACCGGTAAGGGCGTGGGGGTGGGAATGACGACTCGTCGCTCGTGATGCTACAAACCAGATTTTTGGTAATATCGTGACAGCGTAGTATCGTACAGGAAAAAAAATATCTCTTACCCGGACGATTTTCGAATAACAAAATACCTCGTTGGCGAAGGAGGAGAGGGGTGGGGGGTGGGTGCGTCCGAAAAAAACGACGCCCACGGTTTTACATACGTTCAAAAACAGATCACTCGACACGGGGGATAAAATGAACAATTTCGGGCTTTGTTGGGAAAAAAAAATGGGTAAAAGAGGCCACGGAAAAATGACGTCCATGGTGGGATGACAATACAGTGTAAATACTTTGTTCTAGCAACGGGGCGGAAGAATATTTCCGACCACAAGTCTCGTAAATAAACGAACAACGGTGAGACGTGCTCGAAAGCACGAGAATGCTTCTGAAAACGAGTGTAATCTGACCGGGCGATCGACGTGAACGTCAAAGTGTCATGGCCCCGCGTCCAAGAAACGATCCGAAAGGAATCCTCGTTGATCCCCCCGGAAGCAGGATACCAGCGTTACGGTTAATACTTTGCAGATGTTAACTCGAGCAACATCAGGGTATTAAAGCTTACCGGAAAAACTGTATATACATAAGTAACGTCGTCACGGATAATTGGGAATTCCGATCTTCGGCGTTGACGGTCCTGACGTTAGCAGCAAGATTATCCGTGCGATTCACGACCATTACCGGAATCATTTACCTGTATTTCGAACGTTACGGAGATTCCGTCCGGAATCCAGGCACGATTTCGTTATTTCAAATTCATATGCTCATGTTATTATCCGTTCGTTTCGCGTGGATGGAATATGTATATGTGTATATAAAAAAAAAAGAAATTAAATATAGCGAACTGTGTATCGATGGGGCGGCGATGAGAAAATACAGAAAAGAATTTTTCAATCTATACAGCAAGCTGATTCGACGGAATTGGTAATTGGGTAACGATTTTCGTTTTTCGAGCATCGTTACAGGAATCATGTCATTTGAATTTAGTATTTAGATAACGCATTACACGCGGATGAACTTAAACGCGATAACGTCTGAAACGTAATGAGCTGCTAATAAGCTTAATTCTCCGAATTTCAACGGACTAATTGACGTTTATCCGGAAGTGCGTCACGCTCTTTAAGGTCAGATATTCTTGGCTTTAGACTGTTCGTCGGGCCAGAAAAACAGCTTGGTACAGCTTAAACTTCCGTGTTGTGGCATTGAACTACTGATTTCTGGAAC